TGGACATTAGGAAGAACTTCTTCACAGTTAGAGTGGCCAAGGTCTGGAACGGGCTCCCAAGGGAGGTGGTGCTCTCCCCTACCCTGGGGGTCTTCAAGAGGAGGTTAGATAGGCATCTAGCTGGGGTCATCTAAACCCAGCCCTCTTTCCTGCCTATGGAGGGGGTCGGACTCGATGATCTATTGAGGTCCCTTCCGACCCTAACATCTATGAATCTATATGTACAGTATTGTTTTTTATTTTAGCCAGAACCATAGCACTTTGAATGCTCAATGATTTAGAAATGGGTATGCCATTATTCATCTGTTACTAAATCTGACAGCCATTGAACAACTCTAGCCAAATTCCATGGGAATAGAAAAAAGTCTATGAAATTGTGAAATCCCATTTATGTTTCACCAGAACCAGGTAACTTTCAGAACTGTGCAACTATTTTCCACTTCTGACAACCAGAAAGCTTCACCTTTCCACAGAGAGAAAAATGTTCCTACTGAATACAATTTAGAAATTATATAATCCTTTACATTGACAGTAATTTAATGATAGGGCCATGGAAGTGATGCTTTAAGGACAGCTTAACATGATGACTAATTAAGATAGATCTCTGAAAAAAGGTGAGTCAGTATATGTATTTCAGGAAATGATATCTACATCTCTAAATAGGATAAAAATCACTAGTGATAGAACAAGGGCAAGACTAGCAGAGAGTTGTCTGGAATTCAAGTTTATATACCCTTTAAAGGAGGCTATACTTTTTTTATTTTGGCACAAGAGCCCATTATAATTTTCCAGTAGCAATAACTTGCCTGGACTTTTCACCTGTGCAGTATTCGTTATATTTCATTACTTTTAAAATCTAATATGCCCACATAATAATGTAGCACATGTTTCCATACATTCAGAATTAATAAATTATGAAAGTCAAGGGAAAATAGAGCAAGATTTTTTTAGTCTGATCTCATGTAACTAACAGCAAAAGCAGAAGTGGATTGGGTAGTAACTGGAGTAAAAAGACTTTTCCAGAAATAGAAGACTACAGAAAACATGAAACTTTTATAGACAAGATTAGTGTTTACAAGCCTCAAAATATATTACAACTGACAGACAAAATCATTTAATAGTTGGCTCGTCTAATAGTTGGTGCAGATGCTCCTGGTTCATATGTATTGAGAATGGAATAAAATATTTAATCAAACAAATAGTATCAGCATTGTAGTTTTTGTATATTTCTGCAAGTGTGAGCTTAGCCATAGTCAAATAATGAGTAAGATGTCATTTACAGCCTATAAATCCCTATTTTCAGTAGACTATGGCCACATGCAGATGTACCACTTCTACCTGGTGAATCATTACATTTCTGCCAGAAGAACGTTGGCTCTCCCAGTAGAATCTAGGAATATACAAGCACTCATTCCATTTTTTCCTGAGGAAACAACCTCTCCAAGAGAAAGATTTTCCAGGTTACACGTGGAAGATATCCCCTGCAAGAGACTTTCTCTTGCAAGAATGAACACTTCAACATTTCTCCACTCCCCTAGTCTGGTCCAGGAGGGGAGTGGAGCAGTTGCGCACTAGTTCCTGCCTCTTTGCTTTGCCCTGGTGCTCCAGCCCCTTTTCACTCCTGTCAGGGAGAGGAGTGGAGCAGTGGGGCAATGGTCCCAGGAACTGGTAGGGGGCTTTGCCCCACTGCACTGTTCCCCTGCCAGACCAATCTGGGGAAGCAGGAAGTCTCTTCCCACTACTCCACTCTCCCCTGGGAATGGGAAGAGTAGAACAGCCACTGCTTCATCCCTATCCTCCACCAGGATCACCCCGGGAAGATGCCAGGAGCAGAGGTGAGGGGGTGTTTGCAGGCTGAATACCTGTGCTGTTTCCTCTCCTGGAAACATTTATAGTGGTGGAATTTCCTCAGAAATTACCACTGCTAGAAATTAGCACCTGTTTGTAGCCCATAACTCTCCACAATATTGAACTTAAGACTGAAATTCTCAATTTACTCCTAAACCAAACCACCATCTAGATGCATGGTATTTGTTAGATCAGAAAACCTAATAAAAGCTAGTGATTTTTGTAATGAAAGGTTTGTTAAAATAGACTACTTCTATTTTTCTTCTTCAACCTTTAAAAACAAGTGCAGGCCTTAAAATGCAGAGAAAGCTATGCATGTTATTACAACACTAAACTTGAGGTTTTTCCTTCCAGAAGAGTCCAGAAATTAAGTTAGTAGTCCCTTAATTTTCCTCTCTCTGTACATACATTCCGAGAGGCTTTTCATTACATGACAGTACCATGTATATTTGCAGCAACAGAAGATAAGATATACCAGATGTGCATTTTGTATTGCAGAAAACGGTGCAGTTTCAACAGTGTACAATTCAATTTATATTCTTACTGGAGGAGCTACCCAAAGAAAGGAAAGGCAGGTCCTCCCCCTTAGATTGTTTTATTTCCTGAATAGATAAGTATGGTGCATTTGCTACTGATGAAAAAATGAAAATTCAGGTTGCACTACAAATAAAAATGCAGCTGCTGCTTGAGTAGAGTTGATGCTACAGTAGCAGTAGCAGAGGAAAATAAGCCTTCCCCTTCCATTCACCAGACCCCTCTTTCCCCCAGTTTACAATGGTTGGCATACCCTTCCATACCCCATCTCCCCCAGCTGCCCCAGACACTCAGTGAGCTCGCTACACATCTGTAGCCACATGCCACCTACACCTATCCGCAGCTCAAATGAAGCCAATGCATAGAATAGTTCACAGGCTTGAGGCTTAAATTTATATCTAAATGCATCAATACTTTATGCATCTGCCTTATATTTAAAAATAGGCACAACAACAATAATAATAGTAGTTTACTATAAGAACATAATTGTTTCTGGGTGGGGGGTATATAATTAGTCACATACCTAGATTGCAAGCTCTTTGGGACAGTGACACTGTCTTCATGTGGGTTTGTACACCACCTAGCACAGCAGAGCCTCAGTCTTGATTGTGGCCTATGGACAACATAAACATTAAATCATCAATGAGAGTATGGTGTTAAAAGGAGGTTGCATGTAATTCATTAGGCCTCATCCCCATATAAGGGGATCCCCTCATCACAGCCTCCTATTTAAGAAAAAAAATATACTTATTTGTGCAGCACAACACACCTGAATAAGTCTTTGCTAAGGGTGGCAGTCTGAACACCTGTGCAAAGCTCAGTAGGCTGGATCTTGTACAGATAAACTTTATAGGGGAGGAGGGAGGAGACAAAAGTTTTCCTCCCTTTCTCAGGTCACAAGGCATTCAGGTCTACTGTGCATCCTAAAGTGACATTATCCAGGTCACACACACCAGCCTAACAAGTCATCAGGGAATGGAGTTGCACAGTGTGAAACAGTGGAAGCATCTGAAGTTTAAGCCTGCATGTAAAGACTGCTCCAAGGCTGCTTGGTGTTGACATCTCCAGCACCTAACACGGATTTTAATTTTTTTTTTTGTTTCCTATTCCTTTACTTTCATACTGATAATAAAATCGTATAAGATATGCAAATAATTATCTTTAAGACATTTATCTAAAATTATCCAGACTGTCATGCTGGCTGGACACCTTCCTATTCCTAGAATGTCTGATGTTCTTAGCTGTGGCTATACACACACACACTTCCTCCAGCCTTTCTATTAGTGGGCTGTGAAATAATCCCACACTCGGCAAATGTGCAAATACCAACCTCACTGGAAATTTTTTTTTTTTAAATCCTCTTACTAGGCGTTAGCCATCTATTCTCCTGATACTACTGTGCTAATAGGTACAGACACACGAACGGCATTTTTGAGCTGTCTTTAATTGCTAACAACATTCCCAGCCAGCAGTCCTGCTTCAAAACTATTTGCTGCTGTTGAAGATGTGCACTTAATGCAACTTGCGAAGTTGTTTGCGAGAGTGTCAGGTCACACATGCCCCTTTATCCCAGCGAAAGAATGACAGGACAAGTCCTCATGCATTATGCCAATCTGAAGAAAACTTATTTGTTTTAAGATTGCTTTGTATCGTTGGGGTTTTTGTTTTGGTTTGTTTTTTATAAAGACTACATCTGACCTGAAAACGGCAACCACGAAATCCTCCACCTCCTTGTTCTAGTTCGCTAGAAGAAAGTATGTCTCGGGGGGGCTGCAAGCTCTCCTCTCATTTCCCGCTGCCCTCCCTGCCACCCAGGGTCCCCGGGGTGGGTTTGTGGTGGCTTGGATCTACCTGTGGACCGAAAGCAAGGTCCTGGGGAACAAGGCCCTCGGGTGAAATCCAAGTCCCCCGCGGAGAATTTTGCACTGGTGGCTTCCCTGACACCTAGGCTGCGAGGGAGCCAGGTAAAGGCATATAAAGGCGAGGGCACACAATTAAGGAGGCTGGATGAGCCGGAGGGAGGAGATCAGCCACCCGGGGAGCAATGCTCGGAAGGAAGCCGCCAGCCCAGCCCGAGGGCGCCCGGCACTCACCTCTGGTGCCCCCTCGGGCACTGGTAGCAAAGCCCAAGTTGTTCCCCGCACCCGGCGAGAGGGAGATGCCCCGGGCGCCCGCTGCCCTCTGCCCTCTCTTCGCCCGCCCCGGACCTCCTGCGCCCG